AAACCGCGCATATCCCGCGAATGATGCTAGAATTTTTTGGGTTTTGGATGTTCAATATCTCTAGATTGAAACATTCTTTTGAGCTGAAACTTTCAGGGCATTCTATTGGTACATAGACCTATCTTTGGACAAAATCTCAGCTCGAAATATTGTCATCCGATTTTTTGGTATATACTGTGCCATAGGCTAAAAATCCAGTAAAATGCCTATAACTCTGGACAGAAGGCCTATGGGCACTTATCCTTTTGGGCCTTTTCATACCTCACTGGGGTCTATCTTTCACACTGAGTTCGAACTCAAAAGCGATTGGACAGTTGAAAAGGTTCCCTCGTGAGTTCGAACTCAAAAGCGATTGGACAGTTGAAAAGGTTCCCTCGTCAGCTTCAATGAAATCTCATGCTTTATCTCATACCTAAACGATTAGCCCTATAACGCTCTCTATAATCCAGAGCTTAATTAACTCATAGCTCCTGACCCTCCTCTGCCTGACATTGTCTCAACCGCTACTGTCCATCGATTGAATGTAGTACACATAGAAACTCATACAAACAAATGTATTGTAAATAACGTACGACACAGCAATAAACATATTTTCCGTGGCCAATTGTATCTCAATCTTCCTGTAACGTAGTGTTACTGTTGTATACAGAGTAATTGCAAAAGATGTCGCTGTCTGAATTAAAAAACAAAGGATTTGTATAATTAACATCTGTACTAGTTGAGTGTCTAAACGTCGTGATGTAGTAGTAGTCGGCTATGTTGTCTGTAGATTTCGATAGATCGTGTAGCCAAATATGATTAATGTCACAAAAGGTATGATTGTGATAACAACGGTAACTAGAAAGTAAACTTCTTATATCTAGTATGATTGAGATGGTATACACAAATGATAGAAGAAGGATGAAGAGGCTGATAAAAGCAATTGACATTTTTGCAATTTTCATGGAGGGTGTGGGGTATGGGTATTCGTCATCTGTTCATTTAAACTCACACCCGCACACCTACACCTACATCCGCATCCTTCTTTTAGCAAAAAATGGCGCAAGTGCATAAAAGAAGACATGTCGTTATCAAAGATGGTCGCGTATGCTTATGCAACGAAGATGTAGTGTGTTGATAAAACATTTTTTACCGCGTTATTGTTATCAGAAGAGGTTAAAAAAAGGTAAGTTCGCTTTGTCTTGGTGCAAAACGAGGTTTGTCTACTGCGAAAGTTTACTTGAAATACATAAGATCATCGAAAGGAATTTTCGAAAAGAGATCATCAGCATCGTGTGCATTTTTCAAGTAAAGTTGGTCCTTCTCTCCATTTAAAAAAAAACTTTCGTAACATCTGAGTAAGTTGGCACATGGAAAAAAGGTCTAGTGAGGTTTTTGTTTTTCTTCTGCTAGAAGTGAAGAATGTTCAGAACCATCAGAAGTGTTCTGCAATTTCATCGCAGTTCAATCATAAGGCATCTCACGCAGTTTATCGTGTTACTAACAACGATCGTAACTATCACGGCAACAACGCAAGATGACTTCGCTATTGTGAAGGAGAACGTTCGCAGGATCATGCTATGGCCTACATCAGACCAGCTTCCCGCTATTCTCGCACAAGCAACTGGTAATTTGAGTACTCTCGACCGAACTACCTGTCAATGGCCTGATCTGAATTATACGACTCGTGGACCAGAAAATTGGGATCCAGTTTTGCATATGTTTCGTATCTGGACTATGACAGCAGCGTTAACTGTACCCGGTGGAATGACCAACGACACAGAACTGTCATCTGCCATCCACTGTGCACTGAAAGTATGGCTAGAGCAAGATTGGCAAAATCCAAATTGGTGGTGGAATACTATACAAGATCCGCTCATTGCTTCAGGTATTATGCTTATGATGGGTGTGGAGCGACTGAGCTCAGAAGAAGTGAGTGCTATCACCAACATGTCATACCGTGCTAATTGGTGGATCAAAGATTGGGGCGGTGGCGCTAATCTAGTGTGGGAACTACAAGTGCAGCTTTTTCGTGGACTGGCTACATCCAACTACTCAGCGGTGGCACAGGGCTTCGATCTCATGTGGCAGACCATGCAGATGCAGAATCTCTCGACCTGGGGAATACAAACAGATTGGTCGTATCATTTTCACGGTTCTCAGCTACTCACAGCTGCATATGGTGATGCTTGGGCAACGAACATTCTACATTTTCACCTTGCTACACGTGGCACTCAATATGCGTTATCAAAAGATCGCATTGAAACATTCGGTCGCTTTTTAACGCGAGGTGACGCATGGTTCACCATGGGAAGTGTATGGACATGGGGTATCCTCGGTCGCGTCATCGATCGCGGTGTACACGTATGGTACACTCATCTATTTTCACCGGATCGACTACGTGCATTAGCAATGGATGTTACGAACACTTCCACTGCTATAGCACTACGTAACTATGCCGATCGACTTGAACATCGTCATGAGGCACCACCACTAGTAGGAAATCGTCATTTCTATACGAGTGATTTTCAAGTACACCGTAGAGCTAACTGGACGATTGCATTGAAGATGCATTCCGTACGAACCATTGCTACGGAATGTCTAAATGGTGAAAATTTGAAAGGTGAACATATAGGTGATGGTGTGCTTAATCTATACACTCGTGATGCTCAATACGGAAATGGTGAAGAGTATGAGAACATTTTTGCCTTACTTGATTGGCAAGCAATCAACGGTATTACGGTAGAAGCCGATATACCTCTACTACTGTGTCATTCTCAGTTCTCTATGCGAAAGACAACTTTCGTTGGTGGTGTTAGTGATGGCAACTATGGTGCAGCGATGATGGATACTGCTACACACAATCTCACAGCTAAACGAACATGGCATTTTTATGATGATTTCATCGTGGCATTAGCTGATGACATTCAAGATAACACTAGTGCTCTACTTCAGACAGCCGTTGTAAGCAGACTACTACCACCCGCAAGCACAGCAGCAGGACAGCTAATTGTGCAATGGAGCAATGGAACTAAGATGGTGTTAGCCGATGGTGTATACTCGTTTCCACCTTCCGAACCACGTCTGTTGTGGTTTCATGCTGATAACACTGTATGGATGGTGTTGGGTGATTATGCTGCACTAACTATTGACTGTCGTAATAAATCTGGTAATGTCAATCAGTTGGGTCCCTGGAATTTTGAAATGCAGGGACGTTTGCTCACCGCCACTATCGTTCATGGCAGGGGACCTACAACTGAACCGCTAAGTTACAAATACACAATAATGCCTAATGTAACAGTTGATGCAGTACTAGCACTCTGGAATCGGTATATATCATGGGCTGATAGTGCATATACACTAAAACACTTACAGAACGACGATACCATGCTACATTTGCACGGCAGTTGTGATCCATTCACTCGGCGAGCATCTGTTTTGCTGTTCGATAATGCTTCGACTGCCAATGATGGTGTCTATTACAACTGCAGTGATCTATCGCTAAGTTTTTATCTGGAACAAGCAGGCGCTTTTCTCTATAGCGAGGATTCTGATAGCTTTACTATTACTGCATCGCATCCAACACTTGCACAAGGAACCCTCGCTATCAGTGTCAATCGGGATAGCTTCACCAGCAAAAGTTGTAGTCGTGACATGCGCTGGGGATCGCAGATCGGCACACAAGTAATGATAACTCTTCCAGGTAGCAGTGAGCTGCTTGGCATGAGCGTGTCAATCACTTGCAAGAAATCTAGCGTATCGGCATATACTACATGAAATCCGATAAGATCAAAACATTAACAAAAAAAACTACTTATCATATGCCGATTCACTGACATTCCGTTTGAATAAATATAAAACATCATCATAATATAAAGTTATTGCATCCTTTGGTCAACTATTACCAAAGAAGTAATGTTTTTCAGAAGAACAGCTTCCCATCTCTATCTCATCAACAATGCAGAATTTTACGAAGTGTTTAAAACAAAGTTTTTGAGCCCTTAAGAAAAACGGTGAAATCATTTCGATTGAGAACAAAATACCTGCACTACACCTATCGCAATCTATAGGAAAAGAAGGCGTAGTTTTTGCTATAGACATCAGCGGGAAATGGTAACTATGATATGATGCATCAAACAATGTCACGGCATGAAACAATGTGTGTATTTGTATTTTTTCGTATATAACCACAATTCCTCAATTTTACACAATACTATAAAGTCATGCTTCCGTAATGTGTTTGAGAATATCAACCAATTAAAAGTAAAGATCTGTGATAGATCATTATTACCCACTATATCGAGAATAACAAAAAAGACTTATAATATGTATTTTCCATTTATCGTTGGATAGACAAATTATAAAAACTTGATTTTTTAAAAAACAGACATGGTTCAAATTTTTACAATAATTGAGCTGCAAGATCCTCTTAACTTGTTCTAACAGATTTTGACAGGGCTAAAAGGAATACGTACGAGATGTCGAAATATCTCACTGTTGTAAATTCAATTCGTTCTTTATCGAAATGACTTATCATCTTTTTCTAAATTCTAATACCTTCTGACGGTTTTTAGATACCAAGATGATCATTTTGGCTATATCAATGTATTTAACAATGAGTTTTGTATGATAAAGGTAATTTTGACAATAAACTTAAAATGTCTAGAGTATTTACTTTATTGCTACAGTGAGAAATCATAGCAGATCGTACATTTTCTTTTCAACCCTTTCAAAATCTAGTAGAACAAGTTAAGAGGATCCTTCACTTCTATCTATTGGATGTCAGAAGAAACAGATGTGAAATAATTTATTTTAATTTCCAGATCTGATCAAAAAGAGTGTTAACAATAGTAAAAAATCGTTTCTCCCACCATATTTCATCATGTTCACCGTGTGGATCGATGCATGTCAACACAAGTTTCTCAGTGTTATCAATATGTTCATTTGATTCCACAGAAATATGTTTATAGCCATATTTTTTTGTCAATAATTTGACCATCTCACTCGATCGACTAGCAGCCAGACGTTCTAAAGTTTAGAAATAACAAAAAAAAAATTGTTTTACAATAAATTTACCAATAATGATATTATGTAAGTGCCAATCTTTTGACAAACCCCAATCAATATATAATAATGGAGCATTGTCTGATCGTAAAACATAATCGTATTTCTATAAATACAGTTGTAGGTATCATAAGATACACGTCAAAAAAAAATATTTACTTGAATCAAAGTAGATTTTTCAAGCGAACAACAAACGTTTGTTAAACTTGATCCAATTAACCAGTCGAGTCCAGCCCAAAATGATGGTGACATACAGATGGCAATACCAAATATTGTCGGATAAGATAGAGCCATATGAAATGCTGCCAAACCTCCATGACTAGAACCTACAAAATTGTGATTATCATATGTTAATCAATCTTTAATATCATACCGACGATTACTGTATATTTGGCTGCAGATAATGTGCGATAGTTTCTATCAATAAATGGTTTTACATGATTTACAATATAGTTATTGTAATCATCTACTCCACCATAAGTATATTTCCTATATTAAAAGTTCGATATGGAGTAATTAACCTGTAATGATTTTATAATTTTGTAGTCGACTTACCACATCCAATGTGAATGTGTATATTCTCGATTGCGATCGATTGGATGAATGGCAACAACAATCACTTGTTTTGATTGATCTGTTTCATAAATTGTTGATAATGTTTCTCCAACCTGAATATAAAAATATAAATTGAAAAATACAACTTTTTAATAACTTACTCTCCAAGATTTATTTGATAATCCTCCATTCCAAAAAGATTTGTGTCCATCATTCATATAAATAACAGGATATCGTTTCTGTTCAGTATTTGTCAAATAATCATTTGGTACAAAAACATGTATCTTTCGTGATGAATGCTGAGATGATATACAGAAATTATCATACGTATGAAAATGACCGCCAAATATGCCATTAATACTTTCATCATGAAAATGACATGTCTGTCCATCAATTATAAAATCGTGCTCGTTCTTTGTCATTTTTAAAAATTTTGTAATGTATGTTTTATGAATATTTAGACCAGTAAATAATATGTCATATTAGTCATTTTCATGACATGTCATTGCCACGTCGACAGAACGACAAAAATTTTGTATGACGTCGGTTTATGTTTTTTTATTTATTTATTAAATGCAATAACGCATAGAAAAAGTGATAGGTAATCATAAGACTGATTGAAAAATATCATCATGATACAACACACAGAATAAACAAAAAAAAACAGAAAAGGAGAAGCCATTAGAGAGATTGATTGAGACGTATTTTTTATTCCAGAATACTTTCTATTTTTTTTTTATAAATTTCTTTTACTAGCGTTCTCTCTGCATGTCGCTTTTCTATGATTCTATCCCTATCACATTCAATGATAACATCAGTGTGGTTACTATTGTGACAAAAAAACTCATGCATTTTGCATAATTATGAGATTTTATTCAATTAAAGCAATAGAAAAAATGGTTAAACATAAAAAAATGATTGCGGACTTTCACAGGACAATTTCGAAAAAAGGCGCGTAAGTATTTTTTAAAATAACTTTGCATCGTAATCACCTATCGAGCTTGGATTTGCGAAATTTGAAAGAGAATTTCTCAGTACATCGATCTCACTACGTCACAAAATTTTGTCGAAGTTATTTTGCTTCAGCTAACCGACTAGAGATCCATGGATTACAATGCTTCTATCGAATTGCATAGTTGAAAATGGATTTTGTCGAACTCACTATATCAAAGTAGTGAGTGTAAGTTTGTATCGAACTTCGAGTTATAGACAGCCCCATATTACAGACACCAGTGCTTGAAAGTGAATTTTCTAACCAAATATTGTTTTGTCGTATTATAAAGTAGAAAAATGAATTAATTCATAGAATGCGCAGTTTCTCATTTAGCACATTGATTGTTTTGTTTTCATAATTTTTATTTCGCTCATCATTCTATTTCTTTTGTCAAATCCGATTGTAAATGAGTGTTGAAGTATTTGGTAAGAAAATAATCCTCAGTTATCCTGCACATCATGACAGATATGTCGATATGATATTATGGAACTACAGTTTTCTGGATCATGATATCATGATGTTTTTAACCATAGAATTTTGGATTTTTTGAAGCTCTTTCAGATGAACATCGCTAATATTTATTTAGCGTTAGACAGAAAAATTATGAATTATACAAAAAATGAGCAATAAAAATATATAATGAATATCCTGTAATCAATACAGTACATTCCAGAGTTCTAAAACGCCGACCATTAGATCTTCCCAATTTCCTACGAAATCTGACACAGAAATATGGGAGAACTCAGCAGAATTTGACCGATTTCGACCAAAATTGTACTAGAATCCCGTTGTCCCAATACGGACAGTCCGATTCTGATAGTTTCAGTAATAGAAATGTAAGGAGATCCATAGGCTCTGATCGGATGCTGCTACGGAAATCCGAGTGTTGATTTTCTAGCGCAGTCTGATTGCACCTGTATTAAATCCGATCGCAAGAGTATTACTTAGGTCTTTATCTGACCTGATTTGACTTGTGACATGAGAAATTTCTAATTAATATTTTTTTATATGGCAGTATTTGAATTAACTAGATTTCTGTTGAACTTATCGTCTTCAAAACTTAAATAAGATGCTTTAGAAGTCTTTTTATGAATTAAAAATATGTTTAATGAAAATATATTCATTTTGAAAAGTACGTGTCTTTCTTTCGGAGATATCTATCATGGTGCTACCACCGTGACGGTGGCGATGCAACAGAACCAAGTTCTTCGAGAAAGCACCGCGATGCCACAGAGTTTTTTAAATCTCTTCGCGGCGCGACACATATTTTTTTAAGGCTTTCTTTTATTGTCTATAAAGAATGTTGCAGTCATTGGGATTGAAATTCTTCTTTATTAAGAACGTGTTTATGGATTTCAAAAACCTTTCCATGGACATGTATTACGAACCACTGCAAGTGAAAATAATAATAGAATCTGATATTCATTAATTAATTTCTTACCGTAGTCTAATGTGGAAATAAAATGAGTCTAACATTTGAAGGGCTCCACAGGAAATCAAACTTATCCTGGTCTAACTTTTCCTTTACAACTATAAACAGTTTTTGATCCTTTTAGTTGAATTAGTAATCTTACTCCCGTTGTCTTCTTTATTCCCTTTTGTCGTTTTACAGTTATGACAAATTCTCACCTATGACAAAGACTTCCATTATGAAATAAAACTTGCCAGCATAGCAACATAATGAACATTTTTTGTAGAAATTCACTAGTTTTATATTTTATTAAACAAATGAAAAAAATTTTCTCTTTATCGAGATATAAAATACTGACTTAAAATTTAATAAAAAACTGAAGAGATCCTTCGTTCATGAGTAAAAGAAAAAAAAAATTGTTGAATTAGGTTATTGAAGAAAACTTTGTTTGGATAAAATTTATTAAAATTTGATTAAGTATTTCATCAAGTTTATTAGTAATTTTAATTTGTGTATTATTATCTGAATTTAATGTGTTAAGACGACGACGTTCCGTAATTTGACCAAAAGGAAAACGAAATCGTTTTCCAAGTACATTTAAAATACCATTAATAATTAAACGTCCATCATCATTAAGATCATTTAATAAATGATAATGTTCACAAATTTGATCAATTGCTTGTTGATCTTTTACTAAACATTGACATTGTGAATTATTATTTCTTGCATGAATTTGCCAAACTTTTAAACACAAGTTAGTTAAAGTTAATACAATATTTTCCCATGTGGATATATTATATTTATCTAAACAAGGAATATGATTCCAAACTGATTTTAATAGACTTATACCAATATCTTCTTTTAATATTGATATATCTAGTTTAATATCTTTATATGTTGTATTTATTAAATCCAAATCAATAATAGGATCCTTTAATATTTGATCAACTGTAATTTCACCTGATTTATTATGATAATATACAGGAGTGTGACCAGCTTTTGATAACATTCGAATTGATAAAGGAAAATGATAATTTTCTTCATTATTTTTTTTTGATTTCTTAATAAAAGCCTGTCGAACTTCATGACGTACTTTATTAAATCTTACTTCTACTGGTCCACCAATTGTAATAATACTATCATATAAACATATTAATTCATTATCTTGAATATTATTTTCATTTTTATCTAATAAATAAAATAATGATTGTGAAGAATTTTTATCAATAATATCTTTAAATATAATTAAATGCATTGATGTATATCGAATAGAACCTTGTTCATTACTTCCACGACTTATTGCTTGATTAATTAATTCTTGTTTAATTTGTTCATCATGATAATCAAACTTATAATGTTCAATAATACGTTCTAATAATTTATCTTGATAAGTATTTAAATGATCCATTTCATATTGAACAAAATTACTTAAATTTGAATGATAATGATCAATATACATTTTTATATATAATAACATTTCATTTGCATGTTGTTTTCCAATAACTTGATCAATATTATTTACTTTAACTGCAGCTGTTCAAGCAGAAAAAAACGTCAAAATAGGAAGATTAATAAAAATTGTTGTTGGTATATCTCCTTAAATAAAAAAAAAAATTTTCATATGTTATCTTTAAAAATCTTTCTAATACCTGAATGAGATTGATTTAATGTAAATTTTTCTCGTAATTGTAATAATCGTTCTAATAGATAAATACCTGCAATAGCATAAGATGGTGTACGCAACGTAAGTAGATCGGGTGTTCCTCCAAATCCAATACGAATTTCAAGTTTAAAATTTGGTTCAGTACAAATTCTCATAGAAGCTATTAAAAGATCTTTTAATGATGATATTGAATCTAATCCAATCATTATTCTTCTTTCATCATTAATAAGAACATTAAAACATTCATATATTTCATTTTCGATACGTTCAGAATTATTACATTGTCGTTCATTCATAAAAAAATCAAATGTTTTTTGCCATTGAATTTCTACTTCTTGATCTTCTTGGAATATTTTATTAGCTGCTTTTTCAAGAGTTGATTCAGCAATTTTCATCGATGACTTACATCGTTTAATCAGTCGTTGAAATAATAATGATGCTGCAATTCTTTTAGAAGATATAGAAGATTCTTGATCAGATGTAGAACCTGGTGTAACACGCAAAGAACCAAAAATATCTGATTCAGATGATGATCTATATCTCTGTCTGTGAGAAGAATAGATTGATGAAACATCTGCTGATAAACTTCGATTTAATTGATTATTTGTATTTCTATTATATAATAACATATTTGAATTTTGATTAGAATGAATAAATGTTGTATAATTGTTTATTTGAATTAGATCGATCATTATCTAAAATAAAAATAAATTAATTTAAACTTATTTCATAAATTTACTTTTTTTTTTTAAATATTCTCAAACATTTGAATAAAATTTCAAATAGAAATAATCTAGAAAATATAGAATTCTTCGATATTATTCTGCAAAAAATCAAAACAAAATGCATTTCATTTAGATATATGTATATATCACGTTGGAAAAAAACCTTACAGAAAACGATTAGTATCAGCTGCCATATACACCTATTAGAAAGTCTTTACCCTCTCCGCTTGAAAGTGCTTGGGAGGAGATAAGTTGTAGTAGGAAAGATTTTTTCCCAGGGACGTAGATTATTCATATAATTGAAAAATACACCCACTTTTGTTTATTTGTATTGCGTGTATGAAGATTTAAAATATGCAAAACTATATTCGAAAGATTTTTTAAATCTAAATGCGTTTTATAGTAACGATGGTATTTTATCTAAGAATAATAAAAATAATGTCATTTTTTCAATTTATTTCTATTTCATCTTCAAATAGATTAAAGAATTTATTATTATAAAATAGAAAATAAATCAGACAATGAAAATTATCTTAATTTATTTTTATTCTATTTCAATTCATTTTCATTTTTAAAAGTTTACATTATATAATAAATTTTAAATAATTTTAAATTTTGTTTTTCTCTTTTGATTCGTTTAAGAAAAAATATGAATAGAATAATTATTCCATTTATTTTTATGATGATGATTAATTAACATCATTTAGTTTATTAGTAATTTCCAATAAATTATCTTCCAAAAAAAAAAAATAAATAGAATCTTTACATAGTAAATATTTTTAACCTTCTTTTTGCAGAGACATGAATAATCATGTATTATTTCTATATTTAGCTAACGTCGCAAAATCTGATGTATTTCATTCGTAGACAAAAAAGAATAAATATTCGTCATTTAAGGTTATTGCAATCCTATATTGACCTAAATAATCATCAAGTTTCTTCTTTTTCTCCAATTTATATTTCTTTCTGATTTTTTCACGTCTCTTAATACACACCCTTTATAAATATATATAGGAGATTTTTATGTGTATGTATGTATATTTTCTTCCAGCTTTGAATTTATTTCTACATTAGTTTAAAACAAAGATTGTTAATAGTAGATATTTGTAATTATATGAGATAGTAATCTGTTTTTAGTGTCAATTGTGAAGAGAATAATGAACGAAGTTTCTGTTTCTTTTTATTCTATTTTCTATGAGATGCGAGATTTGATGCTAGTATCAATCGAATTTTTAAATGAAAAATAGAGTTTTTAACAATTGAAGATGTCATTTTTGTTCAAGAAAGGAAAAAAAAATATTATTTCCATTTTGAAATAGATATCGACATTACAATACGAAGAAGATTAAATGATTAGTTTCTTTTTTTGAATTTGATAAAGTAGAAAAAGAAACATATGATAAATATAGATCACAACAATAAAACGTGTTTTTTTTTCAGTGACGATGTCATCGTAATAGTTGGCAATGATTCAAAAATGCTTTTTTCTTCCTCCTTTTTTTTTCTTTCTGTCGTTTTCATCAATGATAACAAATATATATGAGTCATATTTCTTCACGAGGGTGAATTTTTCCGCAGTTTTGACATTGCATCAGCTGTAGTTTGGTATAAAATCTATTGAAGATGATGAAATGTGTTAACATATTTGTTATTTAAGATAAAAGTTGAAATGGATTGTGAAAATACTAGTTCAGTATCTTCGTCTATAAATATTGAAGAAAAACGTTCTACTAGTAAACTTGTTGCTATTCGAAAAATAGAAATTCAGATACAAAAACAATGGTCCGATCGAAAATATTTTCAAGCTGATGCTCCAACTCAATGGACCGACAAGTTTGTTAACAATTTTTCTATTTATCAATAAACAAGATTTTATTTTTTTTTAGTTCAAATAAATATTTCGTTACATTTCCATATCCTTATATGAATGGTCGCCTTCATCTTGGTCATACATTTTCATTATCAAAATGCGAGGTTTGAATGATTATTCATTTGTTTTTTAAATATGAAAAAAAGTTTTTTAATTCTAAGAAAAAAAAAATCCTATATTATTATTTACATAATGAAACCCAATTTAAGTTTGTTGATAATATAATAGTTTTGAGATGATATACAGACAACTAGTTAGACCTCCGTACAAATTGTACAGTTGCTTTTTTAAGATTATCCTTTAACAATCATGGACTTGGATATGCGTTTCTGTAACACCCGTCGACACTCACTATTGCTCGCTTTCTGTGTAATATATTGTTGTCTCTGTCTCTCATTTCGTTCTGTAGTTCTCTGCATGAGATATACTTTCTTCTGTGGTCTTTGGAAAGTGGAGGATTTATTCACTGGATTGTTGCATTAAGAGATGTATAGTTTGCGCTTGAGACATTACATCAGTCTCTAGCCGTTATCCCGCAAGCTTTGACCTGTGACCTGGACACAGACACACATTGAACTTTATATATATATATATATATATATATATATATAGATTATTCCATTGAAATATAAAAATCAAATCGACTTTTTTTTCCCATAAAAAAAATAAACTGTGAAGAATAAATGTATTTAGAAAAATGTTTTTTATTTAATTATTTTATTTAAATGAGAATTAAAGATCATTAGATCAAAAAAAGTTTCGAGTCAGATTCCCATTCGATATATTCTTACTGAAATTCTCTCATTTTAAATTAAATACAACCGAAGAATACAAAATATTTTCTTTGACTATTTATATTTAATAACTATCGTTTTTTGCATATTATTTATACAATTGTCAAGGAAATCTTCGGTATATATAATGTTCAGTGTCTGTGTCGGATTAAAGGTCATGATACTAGAGGGGTATAAGGCTACAAGGGAGCAAGATTATTACTGAATGAAAGGTTAAAAGTTTGAGTTCAGACGTTAAAGAAAAAAACCAGCTGGGCGCAGTATGCACGTGTTCTCTCTAGTATTATTATAATTCAAAATATCATTATCTTTCACACTAATATTTGTATTGGTATTTTCTTTATTAATACACAAAATTCTCCTAAAATCGAAGAAGAATTAATTAATCAAATAATTTGTGTTTTCGAATTAAAAATAAAAAAAAATGATTTATTTTTTTTGCAATTAATGTTTAATATAGTTTGCTACTGGGTATCAACGTTTAAAAGGAAAACATTGTCTGTTTCCTTTTGGTTTTCATGCAACGGGTATGCCTATTCCAGTAAGTTAATTTTAATTTATTTGAATTAATTAAATAAAATTATTTCTATAGGCAGGTGCTGATAAATTAAAACGTGAAATTGAAGAATTTGGGTTTCCACCTCAATTTCCTATTGAAAAAGAAGAAGACGAAGGTGAGCAAATTTTAAATATAAATGGTATATCAAATGATACAAAAATCGACAATAAAGCAAAGGGTAAAAAGGTAAATTAAATTAATTTATTTTAATTAAAATTTAATTTCGAATACGTACCACTATATTAATTTTTCTTTGATATTATTTCTAGTCAAAAGCAATAGCAAAAACAGGTTCTGAAAAATATCAATGGGAAATAATGCGTAGTATTGGAATTGAAAGTGATGATGAAATAAAAAAATTTACTGATCCACAATATTGGCTTACTTATTTTCCACCTCATGTTGAACAAGATTTACAAATGATGGGTTTAAAAGTATTATTTAACAATCCATTTTTGTTATTTTAAATAAAAATTCATAATACATAGGTCGATTGGCGTCGTTCTTTTGTAACAACAGATTTTAATCCATATTATGATTCATTTATTCAATGGCAATTTCATCATTTAAAACAAGGAGGAAAAATTCGATTTGGAAAAAGGTGAAATAAAAACAAAAAAATTAATTTCTTCTCTAAATAATATTAATATATATACTTCAATAGATATACAATATATTCACCAAAAGATAATCAACCATGTATGGATCATGATCGAAGTAGTGGTGAAGGTGTTCTTCCACAAGAATATACATTAATTAAATTACGTATTCAAGATGATTTTATTCCTGATAAACTTAAGTAAAATATAAAAACAACAACAACAAAAAAAAATTCTTTTATTTGTTTCTTTGAAAGGAATCATTCTACATTAGATGGTGTTTATCTTGTTGCAGCTACTCTTCGCCCAGAAACAATGTATGGTCAAACAAATTGTTGGCTTCATCCAAATATATCTTATATTGCTATTCCAACTCGTGATCATGGAATTTTTATTTGTACTCGACGTGCTGCACGTAATCTTTCTCATCAAGATTTTACACATGAACATGGAAAATTCACAGTACTTGCAGAATTTCTTGGTTCAGAATTATTTGGTTTACCATTAGAAGCTCCTTTATCTTCTTATAAAACAATTTATGTTCTTCCTATGTTAACAATTAAAGAAGATAAAGGAACAGGTGTTGTTACAAGTGTACCAAGTGATAGTGCTGATGATTATGCAGCATTATTTGATCTTAAAAAAAAAGTTAGTTAAATTATTATCAAAGATTGTTTGTTTTTTTAAATATAATTTTAGGTTCAAATGCGTGAAAAATATTCAATAAAAGAATCAATGATATTACCATTTGATCCAGTACCTATCATTTATGTCGAACCATATGGAAATTTACCTGCTATAACAGTTTATGAAAAATTTAATATTCAATCTCAACATGATTATGAAAAACTTGCTCGAGCTAAAGATGAAATTTATAAAAAATCATTTTATGATGGAATTTTACTTACAGGAAAATATCAACAACAAAAAGTTATTGATGTAAAAAAATTTATTCGAGATGATCTTATTACATCAAAACAAGCTTGTATTTATTATGAACCAGAAAATAAAGTTAGTCATTTTATTATTTTTTGAGAATTAATTTGTCAAGAATTTTTTTGTTTTTTTTACTTTTCTTAATAGGTTAAATCACGATCAGGTGATGAAGGTATTGTTGCTTTATGTGATCAATGGTTTATAGATTATAGAAATGAATCATGGAAAGAAGAAGCACGTCATGTTCTACAACAACTTAATGTTTTTAGTGATGAAACACGTCAAAATTTTGAAGCTACATTTGATTGGCTTCATGAACATGCATGTTCTCGTTCATATGGTCTTGGAACAAGACTACCTTGGGATAAACAATATTTTATTGAATCTCTTTCTGATTCAACTATTTATATGGCTTATTATACAGTAGCTCATCTTCTACAATCTTCATATGATGGACATCAAAATGGTTTGTCTTTTTTTTTTTCATTTTCATTCTTATTATAACGAATCGAAAAAAAACCGCTTGAACGATACCCCATCCATTTTTTCTGAACTACCGATTTGACCAGTCTACTGATAAAATGCCGGTAATAAACGAGCTACTGGTGATACATTAGCCTATCATTAAATGCCGATCTACAAGTAACAGACCGTGCCTTAAAATGAAATTTTGCTTCATAGTGATCTGTTCTGAGTTCAGTTGGTAGGTTGCCGCATACGCATAGACTGGTTTGGATCGGCAAATACCGATCGATCCGAAATCCAGACCGGTACCGGTTCCATCTATGGTTCTATGCAAACCTTGAAAGATCTCATTAATAAACTGATTTGAAATGTCTAATGGAAAATAGGATTTACATTGAAGATATAATCCAACAAAAATAATATATTCATTTTAATTCAAGGTATTTCTTCTTCTCTTTTTTTAATCAAAAATTCCATTCTGAACTGGATGTAAGGTATGATAACCACCCCCCAAGTGTTATGTGCAGTTAGAGACTTCAAATACTTTACTGTTACAGAGTCACTGAATTTAAGAAATTTCTTTATCATAGCAAAATTTTAGTAATCAATGCCTATGGATGTGAAAGAATATAGAGAGAAGTTTTGAGACAAAAACTGTCAATAAAAATTTTTTTTTCAGTGCCCCTGAAACGTGGACATTGTGTTCATAATGACAAATATGTTGTTATCTTAAACTATTATGTTTAATAAAATGTTTTTCTTTTTAAATATAGAAATTTTCTAGTGAAAATAAACATTTAAGATAAAAATAATATCGATTATTTTATGTCGAATTAATTAATATATAAAGTAAATTAACTTTTTATTATTTTAGGTTCTGCTAATATAAGTCCATCTGAAATGACAATTGATGTTTGGGATTATATATTTTTTGTTGATAAATCCTATAGTTCATTAAAAACAAATATTTCAAAAGAAATTCTTGATCGTCTTCGAAATGAATTTCAATATTGGTATCCTGTTGATTTAAGATCAAGTGGCAAAGATCTTATACCAAATCATTTAACATTTACTCTTTATAATCATGTTGCTATTTGGCCTAAAAAAGAAGATAATCGATGGCCAAAAGCATTTCGTGCTAATGGACATCTTTTCTTAAATGGTGAAAAAGTAATTAATATTTATTAATTTAATTTTAAATCAAACATTCATTTTCTTTTAAGATGTCTAAATCAACAGGCAATTTTATGACTTTAATACAAGCTATTGAAAGATTTTCTGCTGATGGTAAAGTGTTCATTTATTTTTTAAATTATTAAAACAAATATCTATTAAATAAAATAGGTATGCGTCTTACTCTTGCTGATGCTGGTGATTCAATTGAAGATGCAAATTTTGATGAACAAAATGCGGAAGCACAACTTCTTCGTCTTTATACATTTATTGAATGGGTTAAAGAAGTTCTTAATATTTCATCTTCTCAAACAAATACTCAGTCGACTGATCAAGTGAGTAAATAAAATAATATATTCTCATCAAATCATCATATAGATTTGATTAACTAAAATAAACTAAATCAGTGGTGTGTCCGGAAATTTTTTTAGGAAGGGATTTGACCTTTCCCAAAGGGGACCAGTGTGAAGAGAAACCAGTTTTAGGATTCGACCCGTACCTCCCCTCCAGACATTTCTATCGGTTCAAGGGGATCGATCTCCCCATCCCCCCTCTCGACACGTCACTAAGTTAAATGAATATCTATCTTCAATATGAAAAAAGTATCAGTTAGATTATTTTAACTAAATTATAAAAATACTTCTAAGAATAAATATAAATAATAATGAATCGAAAAAGTAAATCTATCAAAGGGGAAACAGCTGATCCTGTGGCTCTGGAATCACTAGAATCACGTGTAGATGATCTCGGTTACAGAAGTGATTTCTCGAGGTTTTGTCGCACTTGACTAAAGGTTTTCAGGAATGAGGAAACCATTCTGAAGTCCATCTGCCGCGAAATCCTATTGGTTGACCGACACCCAATACAAATTGAGTTTTTCGGAAAACACCTTTTCAGAGGTAATTTGAGGCAGGAAGTTCAAATCTGAGCTCTATTTGCCTCGAAATCCTATTGGTCGACCGACAACCAATAGAAATTAAGTTTTCACAAAAAACAGCTTTTTTTCTATTGATTGTCGATCGACCAATATGATTTCGAAGCAAATAGACCTCAGATTTGAACTTCCTACCTCAAATTACTTCTAAAAAGGTGTTTTCCTGAAAATTGGATTTTGTATCGGTTATCTGTCAGCCAATATACCTAATCATGCGGAATCAATGGAATCTTGAAATCACAGTTTCTGCTGTTTTCCCCTTGAAATCTATTCGTTATATCTAGAAAAGAAAGAATCTCTATTACGCTAAACTTATAAAATATATTTTTGTAAGATAATTTAATTGATATTAAAATTGTTTTAATAATCTCTTAATTATAAACAGAAATCAAATGATGGAAAATATGAAAATAAATCAATGAATTATTTTGATCGTGTTTTTGAAAGTGAAATAAATCAAGCAATTAAACTTACTGAAGAAGCTTATGAAAATATGTTATATAAAGAAGTATTAAAACATGGCTTTTTTCAACTTCAAAATAGTCGAGATAATTATCGAGAACTTTGTTCAGGAATTGAACAAATGAATATTTCATTAATAAAACGTTTTATTGAAGTTCAAACACTTCTTTTGGCACCAATTTGTCCACATATTTGTGATTATGTTTATCAATTATTGTATCCAAATAAATCAATTATGGAAGCTAAATGGCCAATATCTGGTAAAATTGATCAATCATTAATTGATTCTTGTAATTATCTTTTAAATACTGTACGTTATTTTCGTAATCGTTCAAAAATATTAACTACACAACAAAATAAAAAATATGATGAAGCAATTATTTATGTTGCTCGTGATTATCCTCAATGGCAAATATTCATTATTAATCAATTAAAAATAATTTTTAAAGAAAATTTATCATTTCCCGATAATAAAATTTTATCATCATATTTTAAAGATCGACAAGAAATTGATATAAAATATACAAAAAAAGTGATGCCTTTTGTTACTTATTGTCAACAATTAGTTAAAGAAGCAAATAATAATATTAATGTATTAGATCAACATTTAACATTTAATGAATATGAAATTCTTATTCATAATCAACAATATATTCAAAGATCATTAAAACTTAATCAATTACAAATTAAATTAATTAATGATGAACATACAGAAAATCTTAATAATCTAGATGATATTATACCAGGTTATTATATCAACAAATTTGATCATTTTATTTATTGGACTTTGTTTTTTTTTCTAGGTAAACCACTTATTCAATTTTTTTCGAAATCTTCGATCAATGAACCATTATCGTCAGAATTAAATAAACAAAAAGATGAAATCAAATAATTCCAACCATTCTCAATTGAAATCTATTTTTAAATATAACATTTTAATCATTTTTTTTTGTTTCTTCTCTTTCTTACTAGTCATGAGAACAATTATTTTTTCATTTCGAATATTAATAAAACATATATATATAGAGAAACAATAATCAAAATTCGAACATATATCGTTTATTGAAAAATAATTTTTCTAAAATATATATTTCATTATTTCAATACAAAAGAAAATGATTATTATCTTTAAAAGATATCAATCTTTATTTTTGGATATATTATTTCTAGATAAATAAATGCGAGCACTTATTCAACGTGTTCTTCGATCCAGTGTTCATGTTGATAATCAAATTGTTAACAATATTGAACATGGTCTTTGTATATTTATTGGTATTCAATCAGATGATGATATATCCGATCTTGAATATATTATCAAAAAAATCTTGACCATTAAATTATGGCCAAATGGAGATAAACCATGTAAGTTATTTCAATAAATATTCTCGAATTGGATTATCTTAATTTCTAACATTTAGAATGAATTGTCTTCTGATATTAACATTATGTTATATTGTAATATTTTCAGGGGCACAAAGTGTTGTTGATCTTGATTTTTCATTACTCTGTATTAGTCAATTTACATTACATGCTGTTACAGCCAAAGGAGCACGACCTGATTTTCATCTTTCAATGTCATCCGAACAATCAAAACAAATCTATGAACAACTAATTAACAGACTAAAACAAGAGTACAAGTCAGACAAAATATTTGATGGACGTTTCGGAGCTTATATGACAGTAACAATTGGTTAGTCATTTGTTTTAATTATTAATTTGAATTTATTTAACAAATATCTAATCTTTTCTTCTTACATAAGATCTCTAGAAGAAAGAACAATATCTGATCTTGAAACAATCCTATAATAATTTTACTATATATTATTTTATTTTAGAAAATGATGGACCAGTTACAATCATGGTGGATAGCAAAGCAAGAAAGCCTATGCAATCAAATGTTGCTGGAGATCCTTCCATTGTTGCTGAGCCTACTGCTTCGAACGTAGAGTGAGAAAGACAATGACTTATTCTAAGTCTTAACTCATATTATTGTTGTTTTATATGAAACAAACTTGCTAAAAATATATTTGTTATATTCAGATTTTTTCGAAAAGAGCTGATCGTTAGATATCGCATTGACTAAAAGTATATTGCCAAGGATTTAATATCACAACCATCAAATACAACTACTAATTTGAAGAACATAATCATTTTTCATGGACGATAAGAATAGCTGAAAACTTGAAAAAAATTTGCAAGTCGAATCGACTTTTCGATTTCTACACCAGAGACTGTTACAGGGCACTTTTTTTGCCCTGCGGACATGGCATATAAACAAGCTTCATAATTAAACGAACTGAGAATCTGATAAAAATATCGAGGTCATTTAAATATATAATACTCGTCTTTTATTGACATTACTTGGAAGAGTTTTATGAGATATTTACGGAGAACATCAAGATAGCAATGAGGAGGATTTAATTAATATTAGATGTATCTGCATAAAAATAATGGAATATTCAAACATTTCTGACCTTTCGAATGCTTGCTATTGATATTTCAGGTTTTCACATCTTTTTTTCGAACTTTTGAAGCAAAGTTTAATTTGAACAACATTTTTAAAAGAAACTCATGATCGAATTTAATGCTCGATCTTTCATAAATGAATAAATTATATGGAAGAGACATTCAGTGCTTGAATGATGACTATAAGTAAAATAGGATTCACAGCAACAATATTGTCAACTATAGTTATGGCAGTTGTGCTGAAACATGTTAATTATCTTCTTATTGGGTGTATTTCATCTTACCTAGTGTTTTCTAACTGTTCGGTTCTTTATCATCCACCAGTGCTTATAATTTTCGTCAAGCAAACCCTTGTTCACCTATTTTGTTACGCATTTCTATTCTTGAAAAGAGTTATACAAAATAGAATGTTTGTGCGCTTATTCTATTTTAGATTAGTAGAATGAATAATTTCCTATGCGGTTAGCTTTTTTACGATAGTAAACCTTATAATAGATTGTACTTTTATTTGTTGCTCATTCGAAAGTGCGTTTTGCTTTTGTTTGAACTGTATCCACGGTATTTCATTTTTTGGTACGCCTCAGTTGATAAAGTTTTATTTAATATAACAGAATTAAAAGTCGTACACTGAAACGTATAGGCTGAATCTTGAGCTTTTGTTAATAGGGTTCTACAAGAAGGAGGAATTAAAGAATGTGGTTGCTATTTGGATATCTTGATGGATACGTCCATATGTGAGAATAATAGAATATTGAAATAAAATTGAAGCACTTATCAACTAAACTCAATGTACAATAACCAACATGGATGACATATCAGAAACAACAAAAAAACCGATAAAAATCTGAAAAGCTGCACTATAGTAAGCTATGAAAGAATCAAATTTAAGATAAAATTTTGTTGATAGTTATTTTAACTATTTTTGATATAAACGATAGCTTTTCTATAGAAAATCTTTCTTTTATTAATATTTCTAGGAAAAAGTTAGCAGAGCAAAAGTTTTGCCCTGCCCTGTGACGGTCTTTGGTATGAAAGCATATGTGTTTCGTTGTTGTTTACTTTAAAAATTTAATATTCAGAAATTATTCTCGAAAATTTGTTTCATATATTTTCTTCTGCAAGTTCCGTTTTCTCGTAGTTGTCTGTAGTCTGTGAATGAAATAATGCATTCTTTACTGCGGTACATCAAGAAGTTTTTCTATGTTTGGAGCTACGAACGACTCGTAAAAATCAGAATTTTTTTTTATCGAATGTATATTTATAAAGCATATACAGTTTTGAATGAAAAGTATATCTTTGTAAGTTTCATAATAGAGTAGGTCGGTCGAATGTTAAAATTGTTAATTCTATTCTAAAAAATCAACACATATGACATGTATAGACAAGACACTTTGATCTAATTTTGGTTGGGTGATTTATTGCTAACTTAGATGATTCAAGTGTCAACGAATGACTGATTTTAAACACACGAGCGTCTTACATCTATCTTCCTTAGCCGGTTCAGCTAATCTAAGAGCTTTAGAAATGATTAGATTTCTAGAATTAGTAGCTCGTAGATCAGCTATAGTATCGAAGTTGTTTAAAAAGTTAGCGATACATAGATGTTCGTGATATTAATATAATCTAGAAATATTAAATAAATACAACATCGTGAAATAAAATAAACGAAAATTTTTTTTTGTGAAATCGCAAAATATTTCAAAATCAATTCCACAAAAAAAGAAATACTTACAATTTCTAAAAGACCTCCTGAATAACTTGCAATAATTTCTTTAAATACTTTAAGTTTTAGTTATATCATTAACATCTCAATCATTACATGTCGATCGAATGAATTATGATGAATAATAAGATTAGGATTTTTTACAAAGATATAAAAACATTAGCCTTCAAAATATTTTGTAATTGTCAATATCTTGGTAAACAATTCTAATTGCTATTAAATTAATCTCATTTATCTAATATAAAAATATGTAACAGTAAATAAAAGATAAAGCAATACTCACATATTATTACTGTTTGTAGAAATATTCACCAATAACACGATTAAAGATAGCCATCTTCTACTTATTTAATCTTAGATATCAATAATTCTTGAAAATACTGCTGCAGCTGTAGGGTACGAACATTATTAATATTGAAAGGTATAGAAAGAAAAAGAATTTTATTGTAAAAAAAATAAATTACAGAAGAAATCTTTCTTACTTCTTCTTGATAATTTCATATGTTAATTATAAAATCAGCATGTACCAATTGTGATAATAGATGATATCTAAGTATATGCTTTCATAAATATATATTGCATGACATACTAAATTCATTTGTAAATGAAAATTCTAATCGTAAATGTAAAGAAATAAACCTTAAGAAGACGATCTATAATAACATAATATAATTTAAAAGCAATAAATAAAAACTTATTTATTTCATTAGTTAGAAATATTTTCAAACAAAGTCAGAACTAGACGATGGTGCACAAAAACCATCTATAAAAAATTAACGATCTTGAACATTAAATAAGACTTCTTATTCAATCAAGTCAAGATAAAAAACATAATATTACGTACATGTGTACCTCAAGAAAATCAAGTAATTTTAGAGAAAGAATAATGAATAGAAGTAATTATCTCAAACCACTATGTTTATTCGATTTTTTTTAAAAGTATTATTTAAAAATATTTTTCATAAAGTATATTTTGAATATATTAACATTCGTTGTATTTGTGACTGACTAATCACATGTTCAATGACGTATCAATATCTATCGGATTGAAGCGTCCAAAACAAATCGGACGCTTCTCGTGTCTAACTCATATCTAAACTAGACTTCAGACGGATAGCATCTTTTAGAGTGTCTAGTAATAACTATTGACTATAGTTATAATCTTGAGACTTACTTAGAAACAGGTTAATTATAGCCATTAGCTAATACAATTTTCAACATTACGCAACGCTGCTCATGTAAAACAACTGAGTTAAAAATTAGATTAAAATTGAATAAAATGATATGCTTTAAATTGATTTCATTCATTTTGTAACTTATTTTAATTTCGAGTGAAGCGAAAAAATTAAAACTTTATTGATTACTCTGTTTAATCTCGATTATATTCGATTAAAATTTGATAAAAAAACATTGATTTTAGTTGATGCAATTGGAAGTAAATTGGTTAAAAAAGTTTTCATTTATCACAGAGAAAAATAAATTAAAACTGATATCTTTTCCTCAATTATTAATTGATTACAATCGAAATTAATCAGAGAATCATGAAGTTTTGATTTTTTTTTGGTTGTTTTTGAATATAATCATTTTTAACCTATTTAGATCTCTTTGACACTTTCTTTTTTATATGAGCTCACAACAATTAAAATTATTAGTCATATACATGCCTTAAATAAGGTACACTCACACCAAGTATCACCGAGCTATCATCAATTTTACCCTTTCGAGCAATGCAGAAGCACATTTCTCTCTATCTTTAACTTGTCTTCTCTCGTTTGTCGATGTGGTAACGAAGAAATAAGAGAACAACAGAACAACCTGTTTGCTGACAAAAGTACTGATGGCTGAATATGCGAAAAAAAAAATCTTCGAGAATAAATTCTAAATACCAAGTTTTTAAAGTAAATACAAACGAAACACATATGTTTTTATATTTATTTTATCAGACATACTAATTAAATCAAAATAATTACTAATTCAACTTAATTAAGTCTGCGCAAAAAATTGAAAAGTAAATCCGAGTTAGAATGTTTTGATAGTTCAAACTCGCATTGAAAGAAAACACTGTTTCGATCTTCGTACTAATCTCCAACCCAGCATTACGATCCCTCGTCTTCTCCATCAAATTGATAGTTTTTCACAAGCTTATTAAGAATTTTCCTATCACATCTAGTGATATGATATTTTGAGATTCTTCTTATATTCCTCTGGTCTATGATGAAAATAGTCGAATGAATTTATTTATTTGTTTCAGATGATAAAATGAGCAAAAAATTGAGAGAAAAAAAAGCGAGAATAGAAGAGGCAGTTTTTTAAAGTTTGTTTTTCAGCTGTCGACAATCTTGTTTCGTCAAACTTGGATGTCAAAAAGACACATTTGTCGGCCTATGAATTGGAGTGGTCCAGCCGAAAAAATAGGTTTTGATTGAGCAGCAGTTAGAAAACTGCCGAGTGAAAAGAACCGTAATGTGAGCGTTCCAGACACAGTTGCACAATTTGCCGCGAAATTCATCACGATATCAGCAAGGTACAATGAACTTGGAGTAGAAGTACGAGACACCTGAAAATTATAACCAGTAGTACGGATGCGAACTTGATTTTTTCCGACACATTTCCAATCTCCAATAGGGGTAGTGTACGGTTGAAAATCGATTGGACTTCCCGCAGCAATACCATCTTCTGTATTGCTACCTACAACGACTCTGCCGTCTGGATGAAACATATATATTTGGTAGATATAACCAGGCTTAAGGTCTAATCTGATTTGATACTTGTTACATTTAAAGTTGCAACATAGACGATTGTTAGAGAAAGAAGTGGTTATCACTGGCAGAAACAACGCCATAAATACTAGTAGCATCATTTTTTTTCTTTTATCTAAATGAAACAAATTGAATCTAAAACATCATTTTGAATACAAACGGATTCAGTCGATTATTGGTGCACTAGAAAATGCGTTTGTGTCGAGTAGATGAATAAGTGCTTCCATGGATAATGTCCACAATACACATCACTTTGCACAAATACTCAAGTAAACAAATAACTCTTGCTTCAATGTCAAAAAAGGGTGTTAGCTTCGTGTCAATAGATTTTTATGAACAATGAGATCCCTTGACTTTCATGAAAAAATTGACAAAATGGAAGATATTGGGTGTTTGTTAGGTGAAGTCGTAGATCTCTACGTTGTAGAATGCTCGTCGTGCTATTTGGATAATAATTAGATGTTAACATTTTTTACTAATACCCTCAACATGGCAAGTAAGACTATATCAATGACTACAAACTAAGAGAGCTATCTTGAGAATGGCTCGAGTGATTGAATCAACGTTTTTTTTTGTGAAAAGAGACGCTAGAGAGTTTCATCGTGAGAACAAGTTTGAAATCAATCTGTAAATCCAGAAATTTATTATAGACGCTGCTATGGGGGATGAAAGAAATATTAGAACCATTTTGTGACCCTGCATTTGATCGTCGGAAGTAGACCTTAGTGAGATACATTTGTCATGATAAATCCAGCTTCTTCAAAGAAAGAACTAGTTTAGAATAGTCTAGTCCAAATGGACATCTTGCAAACCTGGGAAATTAGGGTCGCACCACACTCCATCACTGCTATTGAGTAGATGGTCCTTCAAGACTTATCTATTATCTAAAACTTGGAGGATCCTATTGAAGTGGTTAATGGGATCTGTACTCGTATCCTAGAACTTCTATCATGCCTCCCATTCTCTCAATTCGTGACAAGGTTTCAGTCGTAGTTGGAATCTTGATATCGATTTGGCTCAGAGTTCCAGTCACTGTCTCAATCGTGATAACCGTCGTTATTCCAGTATTAACCGGGTCGTAGCTGCAGTCATAGAACCGATCTCTGTCACAGTTCACATCCTAGTCCCACTATCTATTTAGATACCATTTTCAATCCCAATTGTTTTTATCGAAGAAAGTTGGCATATACGGCCCATAGAGAACAGCTATTTGATGATCTTCTGCATTTTCTAATATCTATCTCTTTATCTTTTCTGCTCAAATAGTAGAATATTTTCGAAGCGCGATCACAGCAAAAATGAACATCACGAAAACTAGTATATATTGCGCTGTTGCAATTATTTTCTCTAAAGAGATTATCCTAAGCATATTCTTTGATAAATATATATTTAAATAGAATCTCTTCCACTAAAACTTTCTGAACTACTTGTTCTCTACACTGTATCTTATATGATTTTCATCAACATTAAATTATTTCGAATGATAGAAGAATGAATACTGAATGATTATATGTCTACGTTGAATTATAGAAACCAGATTGACACACTTGCTACAGATGTTGGATGAAGAGAGTGACTTTACAGTAGCTAGTCTTCGCTATTCATTTCTTATACAATCTCTGAACCTTTTCGTAACCAGGACAATAATGACCATGATACGAAAAAAAAATATTATACAGCGTTAGTGATAACACTTGATTATAGTTAGTGGCGTAACCAAGGGGTGGCCAGGTGAGACTCAGTCCTACCACCCAAGAAACTTGCTCCAGCCAAATTTCATTTCGAGTCCCACCATCGAGCAGAATTTCAGCAGCTGAGCTCCGTCACCGCCCCACCACCGTGCAAATTCTGGTTACGCCACTACTTATAGTAAAATCTGCTCGATACTAATGTCTCAAAAAATCTTCTCAAGAGAGATCACTTTCGAGATACTTACATTAGCTCCTTGAGTTCGTACGAAATCTTCTGTATACACGTTCAGAATGATAGTGTAATCTAACGACGCTGTTCTATGAGTGAGGTAGCTGTAATATGTGGCCTATATATATATAACATTAAACATGATATTTTTGTGCATTCATCCATTACGTGAAACAATATGAAGCAGTTGTAATTCGATATTCTCTTTTTTTCTTCATCAAATGTTATAATCGTTTTGGTTGTTCTGTGATATATAATGCAAGTAGCTTATAATAGAACGATAGAGAGTGAACCGAATATTGGTAAAAATATGCATAATACAATAGCTAAGTTTAGCTTTTTACTGATCATTGTTTTGTTTATTTTGAGATGCATAATGCAAGTAGCTTATTATAGAAAGATAGAGAGTGAATTGGATATTTGTAAACATGTATATCACCTATGTAGAAAAAGCAACTAAAAAATCTGATTGTAATCAATTTTTTTTATGATTAAAAATCGATTAAAATGGCACGATTCAAATCCAATTTTAATCAGATTCTCTGATTTTAGTCGATTTTAATCGATGATTCGGTTTTAATTGATTCTCATCTAATTGATCTAAGTTAAAACTGGGGGAAAACGCGTTTTATACTCATAGTAATTAAGATTAATTAAAATCGGATTAAAATCAGATTTTTTCGTCGTTTTTTTCACATGGAAATACAATGATTAAATTCAACTTTTTACTGATCATCGTTTTGCCTATTTTGAAATGCATGATGCAAGTAGCTTATTATAGAACGACAAAGAGTGGATTGAATATTTATAAACATGTGCACAATACAATGGTTGGATTTAGCTTTTTAACATTCATCGATTATTTTTTTTTTTGTGATTTACTATGTAAGCAGACTCCTAGATAATGATAGAGGGTGAATCAGATATTGGTAAACACGTATACAATACAATAGTTAAATTGAACTTTTTACTGATCAGCATTTTTCTTATTTTGAGATTCATTATGGAAGCAGCTTATTATAGAACAATAGAGACGAATAAGATATAGATAAAGATGTTTACAATAGAATGTTTAAATTTAGCTTTTTGTTGATTATCGTTTTGATTATTTTGTGATGTATAATGCAAGTAGTTTATTATAGAACGATAAAGAATGAATTGGATATTTATAAACATGTGCACAATACAATGGTTGGATTTACCTTTTTGCTATTCATCGATTGTTTTTGTTTTTTTTTGATTTACTATGCAAGCAGACTCTTAAATAAGGATAGAGAGTGAATCAGATATTGGTAAAGACGTGTACAATACAATGGTTAAATTTAGCTTTTTACGGGTCAACGTTTTTTGTTATTTTGAGATTCATTATGAAAGCAGTTTATTATAGAACTTTAGAGAGTGAATCAGATATTCACAAGGATATACAAAATATGTATCTTATTCATTTAAATTTAACCTTATTAACTAAAGTTGAACTATCGATCAGTCATTCAACACACATATAATAAATGTTATTAGCATTGGTTTATTTTCAATGCATTATTACTGAAGAAGAATAAAGTTTGCATTCATATTTCTATTATTTATTTGTTAAAGTACAGACTACAGCTAATCGTATTCATGACACTAATCAACATGATATTGTATAGAAAATCCATTTTCCGTGCTGTCAAAACCTACAAAATTGAAAGCATCTCAAACAACTTGATCAAACGTTAAATTGAGATTTTCAACTCATCATATTTTCGAATTGTTCATGTAACAAAAATTAACACAAATAAAAAATAGAATTATTTTTATTTTAAAAAGTAATCATGACTTACTATTCTATCCGACGAAAACACTTTGTGGAATGAAATTATCAGTAATACGTTTTCACATATTTACTGCAGTGTCATCTGACCCTCCGAAATGTTCGATACATAAAAAAAAAATAAATATAAATGTTTGAATAAACAAATCTAATTACTTCTTTTCTATGGAATACATGTTTTTCCTTCTTTATGATTCGAAACACGGTAAAGAAACAAATTTTTCCTAAAAAAAAATCGAGTACTTTACTCGTATTAGTCAAACAGAAATAACTATGATCGATTGTCAATATTCCATAATTATGCATTCTATTACTTACTAACCCTTGTCTGATACACAGTTCAAAAACCTAATTAAATCTGAATTTAGAAAACCTAAGATGATCAATTAAAATATAACAAAATAAACAAACTTAACAAAGTTCCAGAAGAAGCTCAGTCTAGCGTCAACTTAACCTGTTCAATAAATTTTAGCAGGTTATGAAAACTCAGTGGCTAAAAAAACAACATAATAGAGTAGAAAAAAACTGAATGTGAACAATTCTCCTATGGCCATGTCCGTATGTCAAAACTTTGAATACTTTTTAAAACAACTATCTCAATCCATAGTCACTATGAATAGATAATATTTTTAGTTTATTAGTTTGATAGTGAGATTGATAAATTGAGCCGAACATATTCAATCTTCTTGCCTTACAGTACAAAAATTTTATGATAAGATTAAAGACACTGAGTTTTTATTCGATATTACTGTTAACTTTATTTAATATTTAATATCAGGTCATTCTACGACACATCTATTATATTACTCATTTTCGTATCAATCTGTGACACGATTCTCAGCGGCACACTTTATTTTTACGTGCCCGAACTATCAAATAGTAGAGCTAATTGAGATTCACTTTGCATTCCCTCGTCTTCTTCTAAGCTCACTCAAGATACCAGAATTAATATTAAGATTAGTTGATGCAGTAGTTTATTTTCTTTTGATAACTATTGACGCAAAAAAAAAAAAAAAAGATAAGGAATTGATTAAAAGTGATATAATATGATAAAAAAATGTAAGAACCCAAAAGAACAACATGTAACAAGGAGTAGCACTGATTGTATTTGTTATTACGATCAAATTTACCAATAGAAAAAAAATGCTTATTCGAAATCATGAGTGTCAATGAGGACCAAGACCATTCTAGTACCTATGACGATTACCGCTGTAGTTATAATCCACATCGACAGGAACAAAACTGCCAGTAGAAGCAGTATCCAACGGACGGCCGATGACGCCATCACGATTATCAGGCTTAATATATCTGTTAACCTCTAGGAAGATTCAATAGGATGTTCTCATCATACATCGAATTGGATAAGAATGCCCATGTAATTTTAAGAAGGATGAAAATCGAATTTTGTTGTAGAAAATCTCGGAAGCTCGTGAAAACCTTGGATTTTTGACCGTGTTCTGGTCAAACACAAGCCTTTCACTCGTTCCGAAGTGATAAAACTAGTATATTGTTGTAGATCTCGGTGAACTGAACATTTTTGGTAGCGAGAGCGAGCCGAGAAAATATCGAGATATACTAGAAAATTTGGTTTTACTATGCCCAACCAAAATAGCTAGTATTATACATTTGTCTCACATGAGGCGAATGTATAAATTTTTTTTTCTCAAGGCTTCTAAGAAAAATTATCATGCTCGGATTTAGCTGATATCTATTAGATGAAATTAGAATAGGATTGTAGAGAAATGATTGGGCTACACATTGATGAAAGGATGGTCGAAATGGAAATAACTTTCATTTTATTATGAAAGCCGAAATTAGTTACAATTATACATTCGCTTCAAACTGGGACAAATCGATAATACTTGAGAGATCTCGGGAAAACTGGCGTAGAGTCTGTTTCCGACAAGATTTTTGGAATCTGAAAACGGAGAATTCAAGGAAAATTTTTTGCTCTATGTTGTTTGTAAAGAAAGTTTTTCACTAATCTTCTAAAATGCCGAAGATATAAAAGAAAAAAGGTAAAAATTCAAGAAAATCTCTCGATTCGCCCCGCATGTCTCTATTGTAAATGTTGACCATCGAATACACAGCAGTGTTCTGCCTTTCTAGTTATTTCAAATTTTATATCGGTGAAAGTTTCAGTTTGTAATAGAGAAAATTTTTAGTCATATATGAATAGATTTTTCTAATGATTTATTTATCAGGTTTCAAGACGATAACAAATTGACAGCAATATACGATATATGGAAATCGATAAGTCAATCTGAAGTTACCTGTAAAATTGTGGGTGATTCGTCTGCAGCCTCGAAGAATAATATTTCGTAATCTACTGGAATTTGGAATCGATTGTTAGTTCAGAAAAACAACTTACAGTGACTCATTGTCTCATGCATATTCGCATACTCAAACTCTTTCATAAATAATGTAAACTTGTAATTTGAAATAAACTCGAAAATCTTTTTCAACCGAAGTTACTTAGAGTTGACAGAAAGTTCTGTCACCATCAAATAAAAATATAATGATAAGGAGATATTTTCAATTTTATTGGATCAAATGTTCACGATAGTTATTATGATTATTTATACTAAGTTCAATATTTTCTAATAATTTATTAAAAGTTTTTTTTTGAACTGTTTTTCGAAAAAAACTTTTATCTATCTTCGAAACCACATGACGGCGAATACTACGGATGTAACATTATATTGATACCTTTTTTTCTCAATCAATTAATAATATTCAATGAATATGAAGTTAACGATGATCATTAAGCAATTTTAAACATTTTGAATCTGATATCTCTGTTCGCTTCCATATTGCGTTAGTACAAGGCTTTATAGACTTGCCATTATTTACACTACGTACAAAAACAGTACCATTTTATTTAAACAATATACAAAACAAAGTTCTGGTTCAAATTTGTCTCTATGAGCAATAGTGTTTGCTGCTTCATTTTTACTAATTTAGCTATCATCATATGGCTTGCTAATAACCTGTTTAAAATAAATCCATATCTTATCACTCGTACTACTGGAACCCAACTGACACGAACTTTGCTAAATTTTAAGAGAAATTCTTGAAGATGATCACACAAATGAAATATAATGTGTTCATACGGTTTCCAAAATAGCTAAACATATTTTCGAAAAATAGTATAAAAAAAACTTTTAATAAATTATTAGAAAGGATCGAACTTGCTATAAGTAATTATAATAACTATCGTAAACATTTAATGAAATAAAATTCAAACTGTCGCCTTATCTTTATATTTTTATGTAACCCTGACATGACAACATTAAAGACTATTACTTGTGGTCAACCTGGGATCTATACGGATCTCAATTGGATAAATAATAAATAGAAATACTGCCACTTTTAGTTCTTTTATTCATTGTTTTTTCCAAAAAAGGTAGTCATTCGCTTTCATTTTGGAACCGTCCCGTATTATATACCACCAATGACCTTGTGATGTAGATAACTCTGAAACTATCTACTGGTCTTGAAACTTATTAGAAACGTTTGGAATGCTATCGAAAAAACGAAAAAAAAAATTATCAATGTAAAATTAAAAGATTGACACCGAAAAACATTAGTGAAATCTAGTACTCTTGATAGAAACAGTTGATCTCATCCAGGATAATCAGCTCAGACTACTACCACTTTCATCCACGTTACTCTGTGTTAGTTTTCGTCATACGACTTCACTCCGCTTGTTTTCGTTATTTGAGAACACACAGGCGTATTTATTCGGGAAGAGGAGAGATGAGATGAGGTGGAATACTGGGTTGTTCCTTCTAACTGTGCAATATACAACAATAGAAAAACGGAAAGAGACACAAGAAGTTGAAACTACGCTTATTTTCTTTGTTTTGACTTGCGCAATAACTGACAGAGAAACATAAGGAATCGTACAGCTTCGTCGAGAAAAAAGAATTTTACCTGGAATATCATTAAGAGGGAAGAGAAAAACAACTACGGAGAACAGAGCAAAAGAAACGAACGAGTACATTCGTTGAAAGACGAATACACATGAACATCAGTCTATTAAAATTGCTTTACAACAATTATGATATGGGTTGTACGGACTCCAGATAGATAACAAGCGTTCACATGTACTTCGACATGGTGTTTTATATCAACAACGAACGGCAATGACCAGATGATATTATCAGCTTACTCTACTAGACTTCATTAAAGCATATCCACAGAGGTACAATTCGGTCTCATGTTATTGTGCAAATAACGTTGATTGGAAACCTCTTGGAGTCCGAACAGACCCCAGGTTGCCGTGTCAGGGTTAAAAAAGGTTCACTTATAAGTACTTTTTCCTGTTAAAAAAAACTTTTAAAAGTACTAAAAAGTTGGTTTTTATCTACTTTTTTTACATGGGTTATTTGTGATCGCTTTCTGGTTTCTCGATTTGTCGACTTGTTGGTGAATTTGTTCCGATTCTGGAACCAATTACTACCCAGTAACTTGGATCAAAAAAATCACAAAAAAATGTCATAACTTTCACGAATTTTTTGTTAAAAACACGAAAAAATGGCATTTTTGATGATGAAACGGACATTAATTTTGACGTATTTCAAATTCATTGACTAAGAGAAACATTTTAACGAAGCAAATGCAACGATTTTGATTTTTCATTAAAATAATAGAATTAAATGGATGATTAATGACTGTTTCATCATTTCCATGCAAAAATATAACTTTCCACAACGTGTATACTGTGTGAAAATTCCTATAAATGATTTTTGTCTCAAAAAGATTTATTATAGCGAGTTTGGAGAGATGAAAACTATTAACGGAAAAAAAAAATATCAATGAGGAACGAACCTTTGTTTTTTCATCTTTTAAATGAGCATCTCGAAATGCATGTATACCATGAAATACCTTTTCAAATAATGAATAATCCCTATACAATAAGTCTTGACACAAAATTATCAAAGATTTTTCCTCAGAAACTGCAAATTTTTATGAGAGTGCTAAGAACGATTGTTTCCCACCAAAAAGCCACTTTTTCGGTATTGTGCTGCGCTTGAAAAAATTGTTACAGAATTTTCATAATCAGGTTCAGAGTATCAGTCAAATAAATATCTGCAAATCTGCCCGTTCCACAGCTTAGTGAGGTATTTCAGTGAAAAGCTAAGACCATTTTAATAAAAGTCACCTTGCATAAAAACTGTAAAGATGAGGAAAATTTGAATTTCATTTCCCAGTACTATCTGAAAACTGTCTACTATTTTCAAACAAGAAATACTAACCAATCTCTTAACAACGGTTCGAAAAGACCGTTTAGTACAGATTTTAAAACACATGTTCTGGTTGAACAAACTTTTCTCTTAACACAGTGATATGTGTTTTATCATTATGCCAAGACTAGCTATACAAAGATTATAAACGAACTGAAACAAAATAAAGATTAATGTGTTAGTAGAAAATCACGTTAAGCATTTATGCACAAAAAATAGCTTTCCAATTTTTTTTCCGATTCGCAACCTTTTCATCTGGCATCTCTGAATATTATACTTTTCAAGTAATCGTATAAAAAACTCGTTAGATATTGTGTGCCGTGCTTTTCACATTATTTATTCAGATAGTGTGGTACAATCTAAGCAGATTAGGCGCATGTTAATCCAAATTAATACGGGATACGAAGAATAAATTTATTATGATAAGTTCAAAATAGACTATGTTGACAGTTTAGTGACATTCATCTGTTTTCGTATCATGGGAATATGTTTGACACGTGCAATGTAATCGTTAGTAATTATTAAATCGTTGTGCACATATTTCATTCTTATTTCATAGTCGTCTTTGAGTTTTTGAAGTTCATTACGTAATTCCAAATTACACTGATGATTAAGTTTATTGCCACAAATATAATTCTCCTCATCAATCATTCGATCGAGACTGATCGAAAATAGATCATCGGTCGATTGATGAGTAATATCTAGGAGGAAATGAGCGAAGTGTATGCTTGCCGAAAAAAGTTCATACAAAATATGCAACTCAGTCGATTGATTATTTACTCTATCAATCAACTCAAAACCAAGTTGATAATCGACCTGAATATGTTGCTTTGGGTCACATGAACACTGTTCACATTGATTACTGTATTGATGTAAAGAATCAGAAATGATCCAAAAATTGCCACATTGTTGAATTGAACGTTGACACAAGTAGCATATAGCAGAAGGTAGTTCAATAGGTCTTGAATGTAACTCAATCCATTCATGCACGAATCCTAACTTGTGTAAAATGTGATTTCGAAGAATATTTCGCATTGTTTCCATTATCGGACGAATCAACTGCAAGACTTCGAGTCGTGCATATTCTGCTCGTTGTACCCATTGATGTATGAGATACGGACGATCAGCTTGACGAACCCAATAAAGAAGTAACTCCACTTGTTTCTTTGAAATCAACCAACTCTTTTCATATTTCGATTCATGACCATCAAACCAACGTGCTGTAGCTAAAAAAAGAAAGAAGGTACTATCAAAAAAAAGTACACGCTCAGGTTTCCAATAGATGTTGTCAAACGAAAATGATTGAAGTTGTGTTTGAACTTGAGCGTTTCTTTCATTATCATTGTTCAAGATCGAAAGATATTTGGTGAAACAAAAGACAAGCTTGTTATGCGCTTCTGGTCCAAGAAAATTGAGTAACTGCGTCAAATATTGCTGATAGACAGTGAGTTCCTGGTCGCCCGACTCTATTAGAACACAGACAGCATTCAGATACCTTAGATTCGAGATGTATGATTGTATGCGTTGCATTGCTATCTCATCTTGACTTTGACCATGTGCATCAGAAAAGCCAGGTGTGTCAATGATACATAACTTTTGCCCTCTGTCGATGTTGAATACATGCCGTTTGCAATGTTGAGTTATGGATTGGCCAGGATGATTATGATCTTCGTTGGAATCATCATTATCGAGTTGAATAGAATGAGGTTCCACACTGCTCACTAACGGAGAAATGTATGAAGCAAACCATCCCAGGGTAGATGTACTCCATTGTACTTCCTCAAATGTTTTAAATTGCAGACAGTTGGCGATTGTTTTAATTAGCGTCGATTTTCCGACCCTTGATTTACCTACGAGAATAATATTGATCATCTGATTATCAGAAGGTGCGACTGATTGAGCGTCAGGATTGATCGTTGGCGATACCAAAGAATCTGACATAGCAGCAGTTGGACTATAGTTCGTTGAGGGCAACATTTTTATCATCTTTAGCTCATATGAGCAATAAGAGAAATCGACGTAATATAGATTCAAGTCAGGGTTTTTTGCTCGTTCATTAGACATTAGCATAATTTTCTCTTGCAATTGTGACCCATGTATCGCTTTTAAACTGTCGTTGGAGCACAGAATGCATACCTGTCGTCTATCTCCGATCAGCTTACGCTGGATCATTTCTTCATCGTCGTCATGGTTGATATTATATTTGTCAGCTTTGCAATAAATAAAGCCTTGGTTTATCAATTCGTCAATAAAATTTTGTTTTCGGTGCAAAGTTGTCAGATGATGCTTGAAATCGTCAATGCTGCTCTTCAACTTCATTTCTTCTTCTTCAATCTGTAAGTGACGTTCGATAGCCTCTTGCGATTCTTGGCCTAGACGAATATGAAGAATCAAATCTTGACCTTGTTTCTTTTTCTCTTCATATTGATTCATTAATGATGAGACTCTTTCCCACATCGTGTCGAATTGTTCCTTAAGATCAGTTTGCCAAACATTGGACTTCTTGTTGATTTGAAATGTTGTCCATATTCTCTTGAAAGATGATATTCGATGCCAGTGATCTTCAATTCTTTCTGCAATTCTCGGTTCGATTGGAATAAATCTGATATCTTGTTGATTTTGATCTGGATAAAACATGTCGATGGGATGAAGAATATAGTTACATGGTCGATACTCATCAGGAATAGTTTTGATTCTACAAATTTCCTTGTACACATCAGCTATCGTTGTCTGTCCAACTAATTGAGGCAAATTCGAATGCACTTGCGTAAAAAGTATTCTATTCAATGCGTTGTCATTAACAGCGACCTCTGTGCCATGCTTCAAAAATTCACAAATTTGATTGAGGCTGTCATCGATAATTTCCCAATCATCAGGTGGTAACCTCAATAGAACCACAACGTCGATACCTGAATCTATTGCAGTGATGACGTGAGTAGCGGGGGTTGTGCACACTTTTTGTTGGATGCTTTTCTCATCAAGCAAAGCTTCATTTCGAACAAAATAGGAATAATAGAAGATGCGAGTGTATTCATCGATTTCAAATGGATAATTAACAACTGAAGCAATACCTATGGGTGCAACCAAGTTTAAGAGCACATTTAATCGAAAGTCAGCGGAAAAATCAATCAGTCGAAGAACATTTCCATTTTCTAGTTGCTCACCACGTTTTATGACACAATTTATCGATGAGTATGAAAAATCTTGTTTTATATTCAAATTAATACCAAGGAATTCTATAATATGATCTTGCCATCCATCATAGAGATGTCCAATACGACCAGAAGAATTGACTGCCTTACGTACAATTGTATTCGACGGTATGGTTGAAAAAGTCTGATTGCTAAACCAATGTTCCCCTTCGTAAGCAATCCAAGTGCTTACACAATGTATAAAATTCTTAGCATAGATACAATCCAACCATTTTGTTGGCAATTTCTTGTATCCGTAGTAAGCACCAGCTAATTGACCGTAAATAGCTGCTGTTGTGTCTGTATCATCGCCTAGATTAACTGCATTAAGCGCACCTTTTTCGAACGAGTCTTCATCACTCCAAAATGCCCATAAAGCAGCTTCCAAAGCATTGATAACATATCCTTTTCCTCGAATTCCATCTTGATAACCACCTGGTCTTTTGTATGATCCTCGAGCAACTGTCATGACTTCAGGATGAAGCGCGCGATGACCAAACCATATCAAATGATCATCGTAAAATGTATTACTAGTCAATTCATTTTTGTTTGCACCATGAAGAACAGCTACGATAAGAGCTCCGTAATAACGACAAGCATCATAAGCTTTTTCATCTCCATGGGTAATTATATTACTGATGCCTGAATACTCCACGGCTGCTACAGGATGTCGGAAGAAGAAGATTGGCACAGGTACGAGACGCATCAGGGCACCATTACCGGCTACACCTTCTTTACTGCATTTGACATCGAAGGCTTGAAGAAGATCACGATTAGACAAAAAGTCTATTTGATCTAAATGAATACTATGATCATGTGCAAATTGTTTCTGACGCTTTTCAAATTCTTGAATAGAATCTTTCGTGGCTGCTCCAATGTCAAAACAATGGCCAGTTGATGACATATAGCCATATCGATACCACCACTTGTAGCGAACCAATTGATCGTATGAAACAAAGTCTTGACAAGCAATAAGTGAAAGAGCCAAACAAAGTGCCATAGAAGTATCATCGGTGAACTATAAAATCAAATTGTCATACACTTCCTAAAGTTAGAACTCCTACCTGTCCTCGTGCTAGACCCCATGTTCCTCCTTCTTCTAGATCCTTCACTGGATTAACAACCAAATAGCTATGAGGTCTAAATTCAACATGAGCACCAAGAGCATCGCCTACTGCCAAACCAAACATTGAGCCTTGGATACGATCCACTATATCACTGTTGATGTTTGATAACGGAGCATAATCTTTCTCACTAATTCCAAACTCATCGGGTTTCTTAATAGCCGTTTTATCGGTATCATGAAACAGGCAATTGAGCCAAGGCTTCTCTACTATGAGAAAAATCACTGTTATTTCGAATAGTTAACAAAACTCATTCAATCGAATCTTTCAATTCAAGGTACCAAAAACAAAAACGTTTCTAAAAAATCATCAATACTTACTTTTTGTGTGTTCCTGTGCGGAAGTTGTTATCGGCAACATTTCTTACTCTGAAGTTAAATGGTCAAATGGACTTTCGAAGTACAATCCTATTCAACATCAAAATGTAAATGAATCATTTGCGTACAGTGAAACAAGCGACATACACTTGCTTCCTTCTAAAATCTATCATTTTCCAATGCGCCTGTATATTGAATACAATCTCTTTTTCCCTTACTAATAAAAATAATCATCTATGAAATTTATGCAGGAAAGAGAGAAAATGCATTATTTTCTATCAACAAGAACAAAGAACTGTCGTCGATTCGTCTCCGAATTGTTTGGAATCTATTCATCCTTCGGTGCTTCACATGTCGAGTATATCTTTTCTGTTCAGTTGTTGTCATGTATTACTTACCACTATCAGTCAACAAATTTAAACGAAGTTATTTGCGAATGTGTTACTTTTGGTTCTGTCGATTATATGTTTTTTACACGTGGTAGCCTCTTTTTTTGTAATCGACGGGCTGTTTTATTGTGAGTAAATAGTTGCTTCTTATCTTTTTTTTCTTTCACTTCTTCCCAATTTCTTTTCTACGACTTGATACACTACCTGTAAGAGTAGATTGTGATAAAAGATAAATATCAACTAGAAAAGAAGTTAAAGACTGAGTTACTTTGAAGTCAAGGTTAGAATCAGTAAAGACAAACGACCAGTCCTGTAAAAGATTTCTTCTATACTTTTTAATAGAATAAGCATCGTAATATACTCATTATGTTTTATCAATTTGCTTCGATATTATTTCATACTATCAAAATAAAATCAAATAATTCTTATTGTAGTTTCTCACTATTCATGGCATATATTTCTAAACGGTAGTAAAAGTAATGAAGTAAATATAATATGAGAATTAATCAATGTACAAAGCTAATACAGTATTGGCAGTCCTATGAGAGAAGCTATAAAAAACGTTTGGTGAGAAATCACTTTTCTTTCAGAGTTATTCAACTATACTGCTGTTTTTCAATGACACAAAAATGCATTAACTCTAACGAGGGAACATTCCCAACTGTCACATCGCTTTTGAGTCGAGTGTATGCGCATCATGTAGACCCCAATGAGATCTATGAATAATCTGAAAAAAGTTCGTGTCGCTTGCTTATTATTGCCGAGATATTGCATTTTTACTGTATGTATAGGCAAAAAGCTGTGGTCCTCCTCAGAGATACTAGGAAAACTGAGTTTCAAATTTCAACTTGAAACTTTGTACAGGGACAAGTCTCAATGAGAATAGTTTATTGTGAAAGTTTCAGATCTTTTGATTGCTCCTAGTCTGAAATAAGAACATTGGAATCTACTGGTGTGTATGAGCTATTTTACCATAGCTGTATCTTAGGATAGGAACAGCGAAAAGATCTGAAATTTTCACAATAAACTATTCTCACTGAGGACTATCTCTATGCAACGTTTCAAGTCGAAATTCGAACCATAGTCTTTCTAATGTTCCTGAGGGGGACCACGGCTTTTTTTCTTAAACATACAGTAAAAATGCAATATCTCGGCAGTAATAAGCAATTGCCACGAGCTTTTTTCAGAGTATTCATAGATTATTGGGATCTACATGACGCGCATACACTCGACTCAAAAGCGATGTGACAGTTGAGAATGTTCCCTCGTGAGTGCTGTTCATGTATGGATCAATATTTTCGTTCGAATTGTATTTCTATGATGAGGAAACAATGATTGACATACAATAAACATCAAAATCACTTGGACAAGTGTTCCAAGTGCACGACAAATCAAGATTGTGTGTTCATGTTTCGATTAGAAGAACTTCATTGTATGTCAATGTATTAGTTATGAGAATTAGGAATTTGTGAGAGGACAATAAAAAGTGAATGGTATGCGCTAGACCGCGAAGAAAAACACGGAAACACTGACGTATGGCGTGGATATAATCTGATTTGTTCAAAACAGCAACAATAAGCTATATTTTGTTTTATATGGAGCATGTGTACATAACTTATCTTAAACATGGTTGTTACATGAAATTCAGAGAGTGCCACACGAAATGCACTTGATATTGATTCGCTTATTTGTGTGTACTCTTTGTACTTTGTTAGTATAATATTTGGTACGTACCCACACGACAGCGAAGTGCATCATCAATAGCGGAAAATGCACTTTGAGATGGTGCCACAAATCTTGACACTTTTTGAAGAACTTTTAATACCTCACTTTGAACTTATAAAATGATATAATAATTTTAGTAATAACAGTTTTATAGGCCTCTATCCTGTTTAAAAGATCATCACTAATTGGACGCTAACTACGCACGGAACTTGCTGTCAGAGTCAAACAATGATGAAAATGAGTAACGTGACGATGCTTTCAGCCAATCATGTTAAAAAAATTACTAACGACACCTAGCGGAGCTTTTGAATACCTCTTCTTTATAGAAAACCAAAATTACCATATGATAGAGAAAAAATTTCTCTATCTACTGATACCTAAGTGATATTTGGCCCTTCTCAAAATCGGAAAATTTGAATTCTTGTATATCGTAGTAAATCAAATAGGAATTCGATACTTTTTATATTGTCAATCAGTTTTAGAGAGTCAAATACATAGTTATATAAGGACGTGTAGTCCGTAAAATTCCCTATGTTTTTTTGAATCTAAGTCTACGCTCTAAGTGATGTTTTTATAACTTCATCATCAAAGAAAAACTGTGATTTCTTTTTGAATTTCGAGATATTCAAACAGTACGACAATGGCGCTGAAGTTAGCATATGACTAATTAAGATGATTGGAAAATATTTAAAAAAATCGACATTTTTCGAATATAGAGTGTATTTTTCATCAATCATCTTCCCTTAATTATACTTTAAGAAGCAGGAATGCATGAGTATATTATTTCATTCAACAAATTAGTTAGTGTATTCTACACACAACGAATCGAAATATTTCTTAGCTAGAGTTCGAAACGAAATAAACGACTTCTCTGTCTTCATCTCAGAACTACTGGAGTTCCTTGCGTAGATCCATCATCATACCAAAAACTCATTTGCTGTGGGCTTCAGTCCCAAGTGAGCAGAAAATGACGAAAGACGGCGTCCATAACTAGTCCAAAATATCCACAACACCCGTCAAGTCTAGTCTGAAACGTCTTGCACATCCATCATGACTAGTCACCTTTTGGAGAAATGTACTTCAAACACGTCTGGACTAGTCTAGAAAGACCTTGAACCCAGTCATGTCTAGTCCGTTGTGTCCTTTGAACCCGTCCAGACTAGTCCGAATACTCAAAAAAGAAGATGAAAGATAGATTCGAACACCCAATCCGACAATATTCAAAATCGGACGGGCATCTTGACGGCAGACTAGGACAGTGAGATAGACTGACGCCAATTTATACAGTCTAAGATACAAGATTGACTCCCGTCCATCTAGTAGACAATCAGAAACCAGTCGATGCCACATGACTTTGACTAGTCTGAAATGTCTTTCATAGAGTCAGGACTAGTCTGAAGCGTTGTCTGCACTCGTCATGACTACTCCTTTTTCAAAGAGTATGTCACCTGTTCTAGTCAGACTAGTCTGAAAACTCTAAACAATCCACTTTATTTACACCAAATATAACTGTCAATTCATCTACACTGATCAATAATGGAGAGTACTGGAGGTAGAATGCAAATAGAAAACTTTTCGATATCTATATCATTTGTTAAAAGTAATCATTGGATAATATAAAATGCATTCAGACTATGAACTAGATAGTGAAATAACAATCGTTTTATTTCCTGTCTTGTACTCAAATCTTTCTGGATTGAGGATCAAGATTGATCTGTTATATTATGATTACGGTAATTAATAACACGCATTTTTCCACATTGAAACTATGTCGATCGTCAAGATACTATGAATATTTTTCAAGGTACAACAACAATTAGAGAGTCTGCTATAATTAACAATGAGGTCAAAAATAGATAGTATACTTTGCACATTCCTGTCTTCATATATCTTTTTATATTTGGTATGTTCCTATGTTGAAAATGTAAGAATATATCGAAACTAACAAAAAAAGTAGAAGTATAATGAACAATATTTATCGCGTGGCGAGGAATGTTAATTTATATTTTTTTAAATTATTAGATGTACTATATTTAAAAAAACTGAAGAATAATTTAAATTTTTTTATATCATAATTTTATGTTATTCTATTTAAAATATAAGTTCTAATTATTTTAAATTTAAGAATATATTTAAATTAAGCAAAGTTAATTTAATTGTTAATTGAAGATATGATCATTTTGATTTAAAACTAAACTATCATATGGAAAAATCTAGTTTCTTTTGAATATAAATAGTAGTTTTTATTTTCATATTTAAAAATAATTTTTTTAAATACAACTAATTATTCCTAGTTAATGATAATCAAAAGACATTTTTTCAAAAAATATGCAAATTTTTTTGAGTTTACTTTTTTAATGTTGTCCAAATAATGTCGTATTCTGTAAAAAAATAATTTTTTATTTAAATGTGAACATAAAACAACTTTGAGTAAAATTGTCTTAAATAGCGTCTTAGAACGATTATAAACATATAGAAGTTAATTTCTTGATCATATAGCTCAATGGTCTAAACGATGGGTAAGTAATACATTGTATGCATGTTCGAATATAATCCTCATCCTTACATATTTCTATTTAGACTAGTCAGAACTCGTCCACTACACACAAGACTACTAATTGTCCTATGTACCGTCCCTGACGCCCTTACTTTTTCAGTTTCATAATTCATTTGAGACGGGCGTCGCTGTCGTCCGTCTTGACTAGTCTTTCTCTCAAAAAGTCCTCGTCTAGGACTAGTTTGCACAATAGATAATAATGTTTCGTATAAACCGACTTCGGACAAGTCCTAGACTAGGCCTTCTCAAAAAAAAGACTAGACTAGACACGTATGATGTCGCCCATCAATCAGGTAATTTAGACGTGGCTTCATGACGGCCAAAAATTCCGGACTAGTCGTGTCATAGTCGAATTTGAGACAAAGACCGGGT